GACAACTACCAGCGGATTCCTCTTAAACAGTGTTCATTTGGCATTAATGGAACATTCATATTGACGGTGTTTTCAAGGCAATCTTTTTCGATTCCTGTAAACACGGGCTATTAGTTTCCAAAAGTGTCGAACAAAACATTTTGATAGTAATGAGAAAGGAGTACTTATACTTCTCGCCCTCTCAGACGTATCAGGAATCAGGTAACTTTTACCGGAGGAATAGATTTCGAAACTATCAGTACATCTATTTATAAGACCTCGAGATAATTTAATTGGCCTAAATATATTTGAATTTCCCACAATGAAATTGGTAGAAGGCTTTACGATGTCAGTGATGCCTTTGCTGCTGTTCATCGTAATTGCATCTGGAATGTCATAAATTCCTATTCAAGAGTTACTGATGATTTCGAATACTACTTATTCGGTTAATAGTAGTATCACCTATTGTTATGGCAAATACAAGTTTGCCATTCGACGGCAATCGAATCACTTTTTGCTTGCTAATAAGACCTGGGCAAATCGATGGGGAATAAGAAAATACTTTGATTAAAGTTCATTGGCATCATATGACCTTCTCTTCGGTTCATTGTGTGAGTTTTAACTTTCACTCTCTCCTTCGTAAAGTTTTATTATTTGTAGCATAGAGTTACACAAACTGATAGCAATTCTCATCGCCGTCGGTAAAAAAGAAAGATTTTATTTAAACCGAAATGTGCTTCTTCATGCCTTGTCAAAATATTCTATTCAATTTGGCTTAAATCCATGTTCGAGCTCGCTCCATCGGGACTCGGACCGTGGGTCCGTGAGTACACAAACACACAGTTGTTCGATTTCCTTTTGAGATGGGGATCGAACGATGAGGAGAGATAAGATTGCTAAAAATTTTATATTGCGGCTTCACTCGAATGTATCGTGAACAAACCTGCACTCGGTTTTCATATCGCCTTTTAAAACCCTGATTTGGGGCTGTTAAATGGTGGAAAGTTGATGTGAATACGTGGAGAAAAGTACGGATTGGAGTGAAGCAAACGAACACACCTTCCCGACATGCCTCCCCAGTCCATCCCTGTAGACATATCTTGGCTCCTGTCGTCGGATGGCAGTCGTAGTGGCCGAGCTGGCTCTGTTCCGATCGGCAAAACAGATGACAATGCTGGCCGAAGTAGTTGGGCCGACAGGTGAAACGATAGGCCACACGAAGACTGTATGAGGAAATTGGGTCTGAAGCCGTCTTAGTAGCCACCCTTTTGAAGAGATGGAGAGCATCAAAATTATGAGAAGATGTCGATGAAGATTTTGGCGAAATGGAGGCTGAAGTGGTGGAAGAAGAGAGCAGCTCTCCTGAGGAGTAGGCGTTGGGAAGAGAGTGCGATGTAGAAGAAACCATCTCTTTTGTGAACCAGTCGTGAGAAGGAGCAGCATCCAATTCCGCTGTCTTCAGTACATCGAGTAATATAAACTCTGTAAAACCAAGGGTTAAATATGAAGAAATTTGAATAAATTGGCGT